GAGCCCAAAACTCGGGCATGTGCCCTTGACTGGAATCGAACCTGGGACCTTTCAGTTTGCAGGCCGAGGCTCTATCCACTGAGCCAAACCGGCTAGGGCTCGCTACTCTCTTTTAAAGCTCTTCTATGCCTTTCCTTTACTTCTAGGTAAACCCAAGCTCTTAGCTTGGTACTGAGACCATCTGTACTAAGACTCACCCCGTCAGCACTGTGCCTCCCTGCTGGAATGCCCTCACCACCCTACGACTGTGGATCCTTTCATGCTCTGCCCAGATGTCAGAGAACATTCTGCGATCGGTGCTGACCACACACACTTGGCGCCCCCATCACATAGCATGCTCCTTGCAGATGAAATGTTAGGGATCTGCTCTACCCCTGGAGCCCAGCACAGGGTTTAGAACAGTGCCAATGCGTTTTTTGTTTAATGAATAAATGAAGAAAATTATTCGCATGTTTTATGTTATGTTACAATTTTAATTATTTTATTTATTTAAATCCAAAAGAAATTTTACTTGGAGGGCCAATTATAAAAGAGTCCGACTTTTTCTGGTTGGACAAGGCTCAGGTTTATACAGTATTTCTTAAATCTGGCTTCCGCTCTGCCCCCTGGTGGTAGTCCCAGTTGCAGCACCAAGACGTAAGAACTATTTAAGGTATTTCCGGAAATCGGCTGCGATTCATTTGCATACCCACAGTGCATTGCACATAGAACGGAACAATTTCCAACCTAAAAAAAGACTAGATTCTCTTATTTTCTTTGACCTATTCTTCCCACAAAATGAGCCTTTTCTCACAGAATTGTCTTGGGGGGCCAGAGAAGTCATTAGCTCTCCCGGGCAAATAATCACCATCATAGAATTAGGGGTAACAGTTACCCGAGCAATGTGGGCCGGGGACAACGGGCATACTCTGGTTTCTCTTCAGATCGCATAAATCTTTCGCCTTTTACTAAAGATTTCCGTGGAGAGGAACAATTCTGAGTTTTGTATCAATTTTTTGAGGCCTTGTGTTTGCAAGTTTAACAAGTGGTGTTAAAAAGTAGACTGAGGTTTCACAAGTGGTTGTGCGGTTCACTGGTTAGTACTGAGAAGATGAGACTAAATATAAAGCTGCTCCTTATTAGTCTTTATTTAGACACTAAGCTGCCAAATGAAACGGGGCAGGGGCAGAGTTTGCAAACTGGTTGCACGAGGGACAGTGCGTGTTTCTAATCTGACTTGTCATTTACCCACGGAAAGGGGTCCCCGCGGAGCTCCCGGACGCCCGGTGCAACAGCGCTGCTGTAAGAAACGAAAACGAGGTCACGAAGTCCAGAGTCTTGTACGAAAAATGTTTACAGGTTGGAGATCACC